CCCCCCCCCCCCCCCCCCCCCCTCCCCCTCCCCCCCCCTTGCAAACACTTCACATCGGCAGGGGGGCAGAAGGGGGGAAAAAGGAGGAGAGGAGGTCCGTAGACGCAGATGGGAGGCTGCCAGGATAAACGGAGTTATAAGAGCAGACGCGGGATGGAAGCCGTCAGTGGAGTGTCAGCGAGGGCTGCATTTCGCCATGTTTACTTTCAATCCTTCCCCTCATTCCCCCACCCAGCCCGCTTTCAGTCGATGCATTGGCATTTCGGGGGGGCAAGGAGATGGGGGAATGGGGATGGGGGGCAAGGGGGCGAGGGGGAAGGGGGCAAGGGGGAAGGGGGGCTCCTGCTTCGTAGAAGGAACTGTCTTCGGAGTTGATAATGCGTCGCCGAAATTGGGGAAGGGGGATTCATGAAGGTTATGACTTGACAGAAATTAACTAATTGAATGCAAATATTTAAAAAACTTAATGCATGGAATGTAAATATCAAATGAAGAAGAAAACGGCTTTCAAATCAGGATACATTTCCGCGACATGACAGAAAAAGAAATGAAATCGAAGAGGAAGAAGAGCGAACCGCCAGACGAAGGCATCACAGGACAAACGAAGCCTCGGAACCGACGGACAGGTCCTCGGGTCGGACGGACAGGTCCTCGGATCGGACGGACAGGTTCTCGGGTCGGACGGACAGGTCACCGCAGAGAAGCCGGCGGCGACGGGCGACGACGACGGCGAGGCCGAGCGCGACGAGGCACGCCGAGACGACGACTGCGGGGGGGACCTCCGATGCTCCCCGCGGCGGGAGGACGGTCCGGCGCTCGTTGTCGTCTGCTGGGGGAGACAGGGGCGACATCTAGGTGATGCCTGGCGATCTGAATAGTTTGTGGAGCTGCGTGCAGATGCCGCAATGCTCCGATGCGGCTCCGTTCAATTGGGGAAATGGAATGAGAATTACGGGCCTCTTCGTTAAGTATAGCGTCGTTTTCGGACAAGAAATCCCACTCTAATGCATTAAGTATATGCCTAAATATAAATTGTTTTTATGGGTTTCGGACCTATTGCAGGAACTGGCAATCCGATCGGAGCATTTTAATGAGAAATGCGGAGACCGACGCTCTCGTACAACACAAACTAAGCGGTTCAACACTACTTTTTTTTTTTACTTGATTCCAATGCAAGCATGAGTTCTCTAGTTTTCGACTCAAACACCATTTACTCCCTTGCGTCACCAGCAGGGCCACCCAGAGGTTTCCAGAGGCACGGGGCAAAACTAAACTGGAAGCCCCCTTGGGGGCCACCTTGAGGCTATTGGAGGCCCTCTTCAGCCCCGGGTAGTTTGTCTCGCTCTGGGCGACCCTGGTCACCAGCCGAAAAACTGAATTCCGAAGCGAAGCCCAGCCGCGGCCCCACTGGGAAGACAGGCGAAGGTGACATCTAGCGAACACAGAGCGAACTGAGGCAGGCAAGTACTCGGAACCTCGAAGCGGCCGTGGATGCACCCTCGAGCACGCTCCCGCACTCACTGGAGTTGGAGGCGAGGCACGGCTCGAGACGGAAGAGGCCGAGCGGAATGCGGACCGCGGTGTCTCCGCGGAGCGCTCCGCGGAGCCCCCACTCGCTCCGCGGGCCCGCGTCGACCTCGACCAGCACCAGGGCGATGACCGTCCACGCCAGGCTCTTCATCCTCCAGTCTGCCCCCGGCGTCGGACGGAGAAAGGTCGCGGAAGGGGAAAGGGGCTTTAAGCCTACCCCCCATTCTTGAAACCTCGAAGGTCCGCGACTTCGCTTCATTCCAGCTGCGATTTTTTTTCTGTGGCTTATAATTATTGCGTGTGAATTTCACCTTGTTGAATGATTGATCTCTCTTCCACGGACGATCTGCGCCCCGTGGAATTTTTTGCCTTTCGGGGAAACGCGGACTCCTGTGCAGGTTGCTTCGACGTTCCTCTCAAATTGCCGGCTTCTCCGTCGGAATTGCTGGTTCGTACGGCACGCGATCGCCAGTCGCAGGAAAGGCCGCCAAATGACCTTTCTTCGTCTGATAGAAGAAAAATCAACCGGAAAAAGCCCGCCAGAGTCCAGTCCAGCCAACAAAGGCCAACAAAGGCCAACAGAGGCCGACAGAGGCCGACAGAGGCCGACCTAAAGATTCGGAGATTCGGCGGAAAAAATTCTTCCCGAGGACCCAGGTGAGTCAGTCCAAGCGATTCGGTCCCGCGAAAATCCGCGACGCGTCGAAGGCGGGTCCTGGCGACGCTGGCCCACCGAACTAAGTCCACTGTCGCAACATCGCGGGATCAGATTCCATTATTAATGCTCATTAAAAATATTTAATGTTATTTAGTTATTTATTAATAATGTTGTACGAGTTATAATCCCTCCAGGAAAGATGCAGAGAATTCTGGCGATGTTGGCCCTGGCCTGTGTCGCTCTGGCCCAATCCCAGGCCCACACCCAGGCCCACTCTCAGGCCAACTCTCATGTCGTCCCCGTGATCCCCTCGACTACGACGACGGAGTCGCCAGCGACGCTCCAGTGGACGCTCACGAGCGTTCCGAGGCGCGCTCCGCGCCGGCACCTGGACTGGGAGCGGCCGGGCGCGGCGGCGAAGGCGTTCATCGCCTGCCTCATCGTCGCGGTCCTGGCCGCCGCGGGCATCGCCGTCTTCGCCGCTCTCGTTCGCGTTCGGCGACAGACGCACGAGTTCATTCCCGGACGGGTCGTGAAGCATGGTGGCTATGAAATTTTATGAATACACATATCAGCAGAGAGTACGGCTTTATTTTAATTAATAACACAGGTTTAAGTTAAATATAAAAAAGTTCCAATCTTTTTTATTTATAAAACTTTTGGATTCATACCAAATTCTTGTAATCGATGGACATTTTTGTCGTCTGGGTTCATCTTCGCTTGGATGGGACCGAGTGGCGTTCCGCGCCGGCATCCGCCGATGGCGAGCCGGCCAGCGAGTCGGGAAAGCACCTAGGCAAAGCGGGTTCTCTTGTCTGCTTCGTCGCGACCGCCTTCGTCACTCCATCCCGCCTTCTCTCAGTGGGCCGTGAGGCCATCACTTTTTTTTTATTAATTAAAAAGTCATTTGAAAAAATAAAGACACGTCGGCTCATGAGGGATTTATTTCGGTCGGCCAAGTAAAAAATATTTCATTCAGCAATTTCGGAATTTATCACCTAATATATTTATTTATAATAAATTTATCATGATAAAAATGACGCTTTCCAGATCCCCAAGCACAACAGTCAGACGAGCATACGAGATAATTTCGCCGGACGATGAAAACGGCGGATGGCCTCACGTGGTGGCATTCCGCACGAAGCCGCCTTCGAGGCGATCCGGGCCGGCCCGGCGTTCGCAGTAGAGCTGGGTCGCGAGCAGGAGGAGGAAGATGGATCCGAGGAAGAAGGCGGCCTCGCCGGCGAAGAACATCGTGTCGCCGGCCGTGAGGGGAGGCGAGGCCTTCTGGAGGGAGGCGGTGAGGGAAGGCGAGGCCTTCTGGAGGGGGGCGAGGTCGGGCAGGGCCTTCCGGCGCTTGGGGCGACCGCCTTCGTCCGAGGAAGGCGGGTAAGCCGATGCCTCTCCGAAAAGCTGCGAAATTCCAGGATTTTCGAGGATTTATTAATTAATAATAATTATAATTATAATTATTATTTATATTAATGCAATGATGTGATTCTCAAGCGAAAGAAATTCTGCGATATTCCCCAGCCGTTTCGTGAAAATTTTTTCTTTGCATAAAATAGTTTTGAAAATTGTGAAACATAAGCTCATTATCATTTGAATTAACTAATTACCTTCGCGGCATACCTCATGATGTAAATGATGAAAACCGAAGAGAAGTAAAATAATCCTGCCAGGAAGCAGGGCTAATAATAATTTTGAAGAAAATCGGAGAAATTTGCGAAAGCGTTCGTCTCACCGGGTCGACGGCTGGAGGCTGAATTTCGATCTCGAAGTCAAACACTGTGAGGGTGCCTGCCGGGAGGAAGTCGGAGTCGTTCACGGCGTAGGGAAGGCGAGGAAGATCGAAGGCGGAAGGAAGGCGGGGAGGATCGAAGGGAATGGGAAGGCGAGGAGGATCGAAGGCGGAGGGAAGGCGGGGAGGATCGAAGGCGGACCCGTTCTCGAGTCGAGAGGCGAAGACGCGGAAGAAGGGCGAGGCTGCGAGGAGGGCGAGCTGCCCGGCCGCGAAGATTGCAAGCTGTGCCGCTGTCAGCAACAGGGGGATCTTCATCTGGGCGGCTTAAGAGGCTCTAGACGACAATCGCAGTTTGTTGGCAGGTTCAGGTTCAATTAACGGGATTCGAAATACGAAGACGCTTCATTCGATCGTTTCCAACAGACGAACATTGGTGGAAGACGCAAGTTGTGCGTTTTGGACGTTCCGGTGTGCAGTTCCCAAGAAAGGAACAGCACAGGAGCGAGCACAGGAGCGAGCACAGGAGCCAGCACAGGAGCGAACACAGGAGCCAGCACAGGAGCCAGCAATCGGGGTGACGATACTAGCAAGTCTATCACGGCCTCCTCAACCTCATCCAGCCTTCCCGACCTCAAAAAATCAGCGGGAAAATGCTCGCTTCGATCAGAAAATAGAAGATAACCTCCCTATGCATGATTCCCCCAATTTTTTTCGTTACAGACAGCGGGGCAAGAAGGGGCAGGGGGTGCTCGCTTCATTTCCGTTCGGAGTTTTTGCTCTTCTCGTCCCAGTCGCTCCTCGATGGCTTCATCCCGATCACAAGCCATCTGGGGATCGCCGTGGGGCACCTGTAAATCCGATCATTTCCTTCGCGGTGATGAGGCTGGGCTCGCAGTCCCGCCTCTCCGGTTCGTTATGCCGCTTGGCAGCCGTCATCGTCGCTGGTTCCATCTGATCAATCCGAATGCATGACCTGGGGGCCTGTTGAGCTGCCTCAGTCGAGCCACTTCCATGAGAAGACTCAGGAAATCCGATTAAAATTTAACCGATTCTCGACGTGCCAAGTCTAATCCTCTGCAGCAGGCGCACGAATTTGAGCACTCCCTCTAACGTGCAGAATCCATGGGGTCGCGTTTTGCATCCATTTGGGCAAATTTTCCTTAAAGTATATATATTTTTTTTTTGCAAGCGGGACTTTCCTCAGCAATTCCTGATTGGACGAGGGCATTGTTTTCTGCGGGGGATCAGGCAGTCATGGGTTCAAAATTCCTTTCAGTGGTACGATATGGAATTTATTTAAAAGCATAGGTGCTCGTAATCTGACTTCTTGTGGCCTCCTTACCGCTTTATTAAGTAATCCACCATATGATATTTTAATAGGCGTCGAAGCGACAGGTTAATCCTCCAATGGCGATTCTCTCACTGCTGGAACTGCAGAGATATGGCCTTGATCGTGCGGGGGTGGGCAAAGTGCCCACCCCCTCACGCTCAGAGGAAGCAGGAGAAAAAAGGAAACAGGAAAAATCTTGGATAAGAGGAAGTGGAAGGAGGGAAGTTGGCCAGTCAGTGGAAATGGGGAAAATGTGGAGGAAAAAAAATGTGGTGGCATCCTGTCCTTGTTCCATGAGAGTTTTCTTATATTATTATCACTTCCCCCCCCCCCCCTCCTAACCCCTCATGTGATATGCTTGGTCTTTAGACATCAGCCATGGGCTCTGAGGTCAGACTCACCCTAAATTTTTTTTTTTTAGTTATACCCCTGTAGATGGAAAAGGCTGCTACTCAACCACGAGGCGTCCAACCGGAAACAAGTCTCGAACAACAGAGAGAGTTCAGGAAGTCGACTGACTTTCTGGGTTCGAGTCACACTTGCGAATGGGACGATTATTCCCAAGACGCTCGCATTCACACCGGTGAGGAAATATAAACCGGCGCATTCCAGGCATTCAAACTGACGACCACCTTGGAATATCCTGAGTTTTTCACGTCTCTAATATTTGACAAATACTTAACGTAAAATAATATTTCCTAAATATTCAATAGACATTCATTAAAGAATTGCATTGGCTTAAATGGGCCTGGAATACAGTTTGACGGTCTATCTTTTCTCCCTCAAGGTTTCCAAGGACTCATTCTCCAGGAGCCTGGGCTGAAAATCCTAGAATTTTATATATATATATTTTTAAGTCTTAGTTACTTTGGTAATAATGTTTGTTGAGAACAGCACGAGTTGAGTCTCATTCAAGAGACACAATTGAGTGTGGCTGGTCTATTGTGTTGGTTTGGTCTCTGTGTTCAGACTTGCATTCATTCCCAAGTGTTTGGTTTATCAATGCGTTCAATTAACATCACGCCTTGATCATCTGACCTGAGAGAAATCGGCAGAATCACGCAGCTGAACGACAGTGGGCCGGAATGACCAAACTCGAAATTCGTTCATCAATCCTTTCATTTCTCCAGAGAGTCAGCATCGCCAACAGCGTCACGCGATCGGGCATCACTGCAGAAATGTATTGAGGAGGCTGAGGAGCGGGCACCTAACGAAATTGGAGGAGTAGCACAGGGGCTTGCAGTCGTCCTGATCCACGGACCAGGCCATCACCCCGCCGAGTCCTTGGTCTTTGGCCAGGTTTATCTGCGGCACGAAACGGAAGGCTTGTGTTATCTTCTATTTTCCTTCGGCCAAGAAAAGGCCAGTTCGACGAAATGGCAGGTACGTTGGGCCACGACGGTCTCTAACGACATGGGTTCCATTAAACTGCGGAATGCAAATGAAACTGCAGACAAACCTTTGCAGTAATGCTTTGAAGGTCATCATGGGAGATGAAGTTGCTGCTGCCATCGTGGGCAAAGGGCACTTCTCGAATCGCATCGTAACCCACTGTCCAATCGTTCAACTCGAGCGTGTCACACACCTGGTGGAAGAATCACATTATTATTAGCACACTTTCCTCGCGCTCCTGCCTCCAGATCTTCAAATCAGCAGAGGGATAGGAAGACAAACTGTGCCAAATCTCAGCTTGTGCCAAATCCGTCTCGACTGATGATTTACAGCAGCTGCCATCAATGAATCCTACATACATCTCTCTGATGAAAATCTAATCTTCTTTCAAGATGACAACTATTAAGTCCAGATGGAACTACATTCCAAATGCTATTTTTGAGTAGTATTTATGAACACTAGAGGATTTATGATGATTCCCTGAAAATGGGTCATCTTCGTATGGGGAAGTGTAAGGGAGGGTGGGGCACAATGTCCCCCCTCCCCCTATAGCACTTCGAAATCGAAGATGCAGCCATGAAATTCAAATGGATCATGCAATGGTAGTGTAGGTTTATTCAAGTGGTCTTGAGCCATTTTGTGCTCTTTTTCCTTTTTTTTTTTTTTGGGGGGGGGGGGGGGGGGGGGGGCGTGATTCAGCATGATTCTCGTCGTAACTTGGGCGCGGCAGAGGCCCGAAGCGGTTATTTTTATTTTATTTTTCATGCATGTTTAGCTTTTCTTTTTTGTCATGCACGTATTTGATCTGGCGCGAGCAGAATGAATGCGGATCCTTGCATCGAAAGAAACCGGAGGGCAGCGGCTGCATTTCTGCCGAGTAGAAAAAAAAAATACTCAGCAAGACAACATGACATCTTTGAACACATTGAACACATCCTTGAACACATTGAACACATCCTTGAAATTTTCTCACCCATTCGGTCGAGCCGTCTCGTCCATCCGAACACCAACGATAACCCCGAAGGCTCGCATCTCTGCAGAATCAGGATGCGTTCCAACGACTTCATACTTTATATCTTTACCGGCCCGTATAATTAAAGTTGACAGTGGTGCTGCGGTCGGTTTCGGTTCTGCTCGCTGCGGTCTGCGGCCGGACTCGGACACAGAAGATTGCCCAGTTAAAAGTATCATGTGACGGCCCGCAGATGATCCACGTCCCCGCATCGCCCTCCATCATTCTCGCCGTCTCGCAGCGAAGGCGAGTCTGACAACCCTGCTTGGGGCGGAAAAGGCGATTCTGACAACCCTGCTTGGGGCGGAAAAGGCGATTCTGACAACCCTGCTTGGGGCGGAAAAGGGGAATCCGACAACCCTGCTTGGGGCGACGCGGAGGCGACCTCGTCACTCGGGTCCGCCTCGGGCTCGCGTCAGCGTCTCGCCTGCGCGGGTCTCGTCGAGTTTCTCAGGTGAGTCCACGTTCGCACATTCTCGGAATGGAGCGAAATGTAATTACAGTATTACTGTAACTGTGATGAGCCCTTTTCTTCCGCGAGTAACGTTTACACCAGGTTTAAATTCGTATTAGATCGTGTCTAACTTTACAGCACTGCAGGTTCGCCGTTTGGCGTCGGGGCGGGAAAACGTTGAGAAACCAAGAATAATTTCCATTTGTAAAGGGTCACTGATTGACCCACGAGTCCTGAACATAGGTCATTTAAATAGAATTGGTTCCCATTCGATCCAGCAGCTAGACACGCTGGATAGAAATGAAAAAAAAAACGGAACGGAACGACGGGGAACTCGAAGACTTCGAGGACATGCAGTCATTTACTCGCGGCAGCCTCGTAGTGCGAATGGGAGTAGGCCAACCGGAATTTTACCCTGTCACTCCTGGCAAAAAAAAAAAGTCATTTGCTGTTATGATATGCTCCTCGGGGGCAGATATTTTTTTTTTCTACTCGCCTGTCCGTCTTTTCAGGGCCTTTCGCATAAAAAAAAATTGTGAGAGTGAGAAATTCCGACGGTGCCATATGTAAGCCATTATTCCATTTTCCTCGTGTGTTCTTCTGCCTGTGAATTCCAGGCGAGCGAGTCCGAATTTCACACCGGAAATCCTGTGACACTCCCAGACGATTTCGCCGAAGGGGGGAACGAAGTGGGTTTACGGGGAGTGGAGATTATTACGTCACTCCTGTCGAGACAATCGCTTTTTTTTTTCACTGGTGGCCCGTAGAAAACAAATACGACTTGAATGTCTCTTTTTCGTCAGTGCTGCTTTACTTGACCCGACCGCCGCTGCAATCCTTGGCATTTGAGATGAGTAGCAGAATCCCGAAGAGATTTAAGAGTGATTTGGATTTTCTCTGTCATCATCATCGGACGATCGAAAAACTCTTTTCGCTGCCGGTCCGAACGCGATCAGATTCCGCTCTTTCGCTTCTCGGTTTAAGTGAAATTTACCTGAGGTGTGGCAGTTGCATTTTCCAATGGACACTCAAGCATAGACGCAATTAATGCGGGAAGAAAAGGTCAAAAGAATGAGAAATAGCCAATTTCCCTGTATATTTTCAAGGATTTTCTATTTAAAAAAAATCAATCCATCCGGAACTGATAGTTGAAGCATTTTTTTGCCTATGCATATTTAAAACAATTCTTCTTCGTGCCGTCTTCCAGGACGTCTTGGAAAAAGCCAAGGAGAAAGGCGTGCCCGGAGGGATCCTCACCGACAAGTCTTTCCAATAAACTCAGTTCCAATTATTTTGTTATCTATGTTATCTCTGTTTTAACTTTTGAGGAACGCTGGAATTGCGCCACTGCGCACTGGAGCCTTATCGGAATTGCGAAGGGTCGCGAAACACCGTTACCAATGACGTTATTCTTACATCATGCTTTTTCTTCCGTGGAACCGATCCCCTTATTTTATTTTTATTGCCTGCCCGGCGAAGGGGGAAGCCTGAGGGGAGAGATTTCGACTCTCGTCTTCGGTCGGTCGCTTTCAATTTGGAGCCCAGCTGCTTCGTCCCCACGGCCAACAAGGAGGCTAGGGGGTTTTCACTTCTATTTAACCATATCAGGGGTTTTAGCGGTGACGTCACACGAGGCGTCTGCTCTTCCCTCGAGCAACGTTCCTGCCATTGTTTCCTTTGCTCAAGAACCAACTTGGACGTTTTCTCATGCTTTTAGAGTATCTCTTTACGATGCAATTGCGCATCTTCATGAGCTCAATGAACGATTTTCCCTAGAACTGAATTGAGGGAACTGGGAAGCCAACGTTTTCATGATGAAATGATGAAAGACGTGATGAAAGAAAGATATAATATTCCAAAGCAGTATCGAGATGCGGGTCGAGCCGACGATGCGGACATCGACCTGGCGAAACAGCAGATTCGACTGGAGAAGATTCCGCACGCTGCTTGAAGTCTTCCAGTAGCCTCCAGGTGGGAGAAACTTTCGAAGAAATTCCCTCTCGGAACCTGAGGTTTTGCAACGACAAAAAAAAATTGTAACGGCTGCTTCATTCCATTGCTCTCTTTACTCCATTGATCACGATGCTAATTATGATTTTTATTGGGTTGTTGGTGTGGCCACTGCTGGCCTTTTAAGCGATCGTCAACTCCTTCCGCAATGCGAATAGGTCCGAGCTGTCACCGACTCTTAGTCTTAGTTAAAGGTCGTCAGCCGTTAATGTCGAGTTTTCGCCGCGCGGTCGGGAGTGAGTTCCCAATTTGCGTCTTTTCCCGTTTCGCTCATTTAAGTTAAATTTTATCGTTTTATTACGCAGTGAGTTTTCTTCTCGTTGGCTTCAAAGTCGAGTTCCATAAACCTGATCATCTTTTGAACGATATCCCCGACCCTCATTTGGCATCGGAACTAAATAATTCACTCATCGATATTTCATCCACAAACTGATTTCAAACCGCAGTCGCAGTTCCAGTTGGGATTTTTTTTTTTAAATGTGAGTAGTTGCGAAGACCACAGTGAAACTTCAGACCAAAGTCTGAACTGAAACAAGAACTGAATTGCAACTGAACTGCATTTTTTAAGCCAGTCATAGTTTCATTCATAGTGTCATTCATAGTTTCATTCATAGTTTCATTCATAGTGTCATTCATAGTGTCATTCATAGTGTCATTCATAGTTTCATTCATAGTTTCATTCATAGTGTCATTCATAGTGTCATTCATAGTTTCATCCACTTTCCATTTGTCTCGAAGCATCCTAGTGTTTTCCATCCAATGGCAACCGATCATTTAACCACCAATTAACTCACCAATTATTTTAACCACAGCTGTCACGAAATATATTCAAATACGGAAATTATTTGCATATTGGACGAGATTACGAATGTTTGTATGCAAAACGAACCTTGAAAAAAAAACAGACCGGAAATAATTCGCAACTGAAAGGATTATTTTCGTCGTTCATCCGTCAACATCCGCATCTCCTGTCGATTTTTGTCTGCGAGCCGACAGAAGTTACGAAGGGGAAAAATTGTTTTCTGGTTTGATTGAATTTTTTTTTGCGTTCCTGACAAAACTGAAGGCTTAAGTGCCGGTTGAGGGCCGAGAAATCGCGAGTTCGCGGGAAATTATTCGCCGCGGACGAGGTTGTTCAGCAAGCGAACGAATCCAAGTTCTTCCAAGATCGGCTTCCGTCACTCGCGAGACGACGGCTGTCATTCCCTTAATCAGTCATTTTCGTCAACTTCAGTCCATTTCCGTCTCCTCGTCGAAATTCACTCTTTCCGAATTAACTCCGACACGAACGTACTGCAATTTCATTCCCCAGGAAAAAAAAAATACCCACAACTTTAAGAAACGGATCAAATTTCGGGTTGTAGGGACGTGGAAAGGTATTCAGCCCCATTACGAAATTAGACAGCCCACCTTTTTTTTCCTATTTATTTATTTATTTATCGCATCCACTTACAACAAATTGTTTCCAACCGCATCGCTTCCTTTTTCATTCCGTCCACGAAAGCACGCAATCCCTCGTTATAGTCAGTCACGGCGCGGTGCAGTCCATCATCCACCGCGTTCCACGCATTCATTACTCATTAAGAAACTCATTCCGGGGTCCTAGAGCAGATCGGTTTATGAGAGAACCAGCACACTTTTTGCTTCTTACCTCGGCTTCCCCTCGGTAATAAGCAAAAAGCGTGCTGATCCCTGTCGACTCGGCAAATTATATAATCCCTATGTTGTGTCACGATGTCGAAATGGACAGTTATACATATATATATATAAATAAATTTGGTAGACATTATCACCTAAATACAGAGTATGGATTGAATGGTATGTAGCAGTTAAAAATAATATATTTATCAGGAACTAAAAAATATG